GAAAAGTAAAAGCAAAGCCAGAATATAGTATCAGAGACCTATGAGATAATATGGAATGGTCTGTAGGAAGCGAGAACTGGGGTGGAAGAAATGTTTGAAGACCAACTAGCTGAAAGATTTCCAGACTGATGAAAGACATGAATCCCCAGATCCAATGAGCTCTGTAAATGGCAAGCAGAGTAGGGGCAAGGACGAACCCCCATCACCAGTCAGATAACATAAAACCAAAGGTAAAGAGAAATATTTTCCTAAACAGTCAAACAAAACAGGTACATTAGCCAGAAGGCAGTGGCAGAAGGATCTTGAGTTCCAGGTTGGTCTGGGCAAAGTTAGGGAAACCCTGTCTCAAAAAACTGGGGGCATGACTCAAATGGTACATTACTTTGAAGGGAATGCTAATGACATTACTTTGAAGGGAATGCTAATGACAACTAGCTTTGCAACAGATTAATGGGATATTTAAAATACTGAAAAACAAATAAAACTCATTGACATAGAATTTTATTCCCAGCAGAAGTCTTTCACTTGTGAAAGTGAAATAAAGATTTTTCAGACAATTCACACTGAGCTTGTTGCCAATGTACAAACACTATAAGACAAAGCACATTGTTCAGGCTAAGAAGACCCCAGTGGAGTCTTGGACAGATAGGAAGAGATGAGCATCAGAAAGGGTTAACACTTGCTGGGTGCTGGTGGCTCATGCCTGTAATCCAGCTACTCAGGAGGCAGAGATCAGGAGGTCCATGGTTCGAGTCCAGCCCGGGCAAAAAAAAGTTCATGAGACCCTATCTCAAAAAACCCTTCACAAAAATAGGGCGGGTGGAGTGACTCAAGGTGAAGGCCCTGAGTTCAAGCCAGAGTAAAGCCAAAAATTAAAAAAAGGGTTAACACTATATAAAATGCATTTTCAAGACTATAGAGCAAAAACAACAGCAGGAAACTGTGAGCTTATAATGTGTAGAAATAAAAATACCACAAAAAGGAGGAAATGGGGATTGGAGGCATGGCTCAAGCAGTAGAGCATCTGCTTTGCAAGCCCCAGCCCCACCAAAAAAAGTGAGGGTATCAGCTCAATAGATACAGAAAAAGGCTTTGACAAAATTCAGCACCATTCATAATAGAAGCACTGAACAACCTAGAAATAGAAGGTATGTTTCTCAACTATATACAACAAACCTATAGCCAACATTATACAAAAATGGAGAACTGAAACCATTCCCACTAAAGTCAGGAACCAGACAGGGATGCCCACTTTCCCGACTCCTATTCAATATAGTTTAGTAATTCCTAGCCAGAACAATACAACAAGAACAAGAAATAAAAGAAATTAGGAAGAAGTCAAACTATCCCTATTTGTAGATGACATGATCTTATACCTAAAAGACTCTAAAACCTCTACCAAAAAAACTCTTGGAAATCATAAACTCTTTTGGCAGAGTAGCAGGATACAAAATTAACATACAGAAATCAGTAGCCTTACCTATAAACGAACAATGGACAGACTGAGAAAAAAAATCAAGGAAACAATCCCATTTACAATAGCCTCAAAAAAAAATACATAGGAATAAATTTAATGAAGGAAACCAAAGACATTTTCAATGAAAACTATAAATCACTGAAGAGAATAGTCAAAGAAGACATCAGAAAATGGAAAGATCTCCCATGCTCACAGCTTGGTAGAATCAACATCGTGAAAATGGCCATACTATCAAAAGCAATCTACAAGTTCAACACAATCCCTATCAAAACTTCAATGACATTCTTCAGAGACAGAAAAAAAACAATCCTAAAATACAAATGGAAACACAAAAGACCTCAAATAGCCAATTCTGAGCAAAAAAGTTCAATGCTGTAGGAATCACAACACACGACTTCAAACTACACTAGAGCCATGACAATAAAAAATGACATGGTACTCCACAAAAACAGACATAAAAGATCAATGGAATAGAACAGAAGACTCAGACGTGAACCCACAGCCAACTGGTTTTTTACAAAGGAGCCCAAAACACACGATGGGAAGACAGTCTGCTGGGAGGCCAAGTGCCAGTGGTGTGTATAATCCTAGATACTTAGGAGAATAGCAGTTTGAAGCCAGCCTGGGAAAATAGTTCATGAGACCCTATCTCAAAAAAATAAAAATCACAAAAAAGACTTGGTGGAGTGGCTCAAGGTGTAGGCCTTGAGTTTAAACCCCTGTACTGCAAAAAAAAAAAAGAAAAAAAATGTTGCTGGGAAAACTAGGTATCCACATGCAGAAGACTGAAATTACATCCCTATCTCTCACCCTGCACCAATATCAACTCAAAGTGGATCAAAGACCTTAATATAAAACATAGAACTTTAAAACAATTCCAAGAAGCAGAAACAGTAGGAATTATGCTGAAAAATGTAGATATAGGCAGTGACTTCCTAAATAGAACTCCAACAGCTCAGCATCTAAGAGAAAGAATGGACAAATGGGACCACATCAAACTAAAAAGCTTCTGCACAGCAAAAGAAACAGTCACTAGACTTAAGAGATAGCCCATAGAATGGAGAAAATCTTTACCAGCTATTCATCTGATAAGGGACTAAAATCCAGAATCTACAGGGAACTCAAAAAACTCAATCCTCAGGAATCAACATCCCAATGAAGAAATGGGCACATGAATTGAATAGGGAATTTTCAGAGGAAGAGGTACAAATGGCCAATAAATACATGAAGAAGTGTTCAACTGTTGGGCACCAGTGGTTCACACCTATAATCCTAGCTACTCAGGAGGCAGAGATCAGAAGGATCATGGTTTGAAGACAGATGGGCAAATAGTTTGCAAGACCCTATCTTGAAAAAACCCGTAACAAAAAAGGGCTGGTGAAGTAGCTCAAGGTGTAGGCCATGAGTTCAAACCCCCATACCACAAAAAAAAAAAAAAGTATTCAACTTCCTTGACTATAAAAGAGATGCAAATCAAAATTACAACAAGATTTCATCTTACCCCAGTTAGAATGGCCATCTTCAAGAACAAAAATAACAAATGTTGGTATGGATGTTGTTGGGAATATAAATTAACACAACCACTATGGAAAACAGTATGGAAGCTCCTCAAAAAACTAAAGATAGAATTGCCATATGATCCAGTGATACCACTCCTGAGTAAATACCCAAAGGAAAGTAAGTCAGGATACAAGACAGACACCTATACACTGATGTTCATCGCAGCATTATTCACAATAGCCAAGTATGGAAACAACCCAGATGCCCCACAACTGATTCATCTGGAATTTTACCCAGCCATAAGAAAGAATGACACCATATGATTTGAAGGAAAGTGGATACAATTAGAGGACATACCAGCCACCACTACTGTTTACACATTTGACTGTGCACACTGGTCTCCACCTACATGTCCCCCTGTAGTCTTAGAGGTGCACTCTGTGGTAACTAGCTCCGCTCATGTGGAACAGGGTCCCTGTCAAGGCCACAGGTCCGCCACTTTCTGCACATTCCTCTGTGCCTGGCTTTCTGCAGACTTGATGGTGGGACTCCTTAACACGGCTCATGCTTGGCCTCATGGAGCTTTGGGGAGGCGGCTGTGTGCTATCTCACAAGTCTGACACCTGGTTTGCCTTTGCAAATCATTTGATCGAAGTGCCTGCTGGTCCCCTAGCAAGAATCACCCTCATTTTTTTTTTTAAACCAAATTGTTTCTGTGGGTCTGTCTTATAGTTGCTGACTCTAACTTCTCCAGTGCCCATTCAGTGTAGAGCTTCTGGTCCTCTTTCCTCTTTCTGGGAGCTGCCTTGGAGGACACTAGCTGTTTTACCACTTTGGTGACTAACAGGAACATTGATCTTTCCTGCCCTGTCTTGTTGCCACCACTGTTCTGACAGATATTTGTTTTGGTTTAACAGTTTGGGGATTTTTTGAGATTATGTACCTTGATTCTGTCTCAGCCTTCTGAGGGCTGGGATCATAGGGATGAACCACCACACTCAGCATTCACTTTCTTTTCATCCTCTTGGTTGTTTTCTTGCCTCTAGGATCCTTTCTTGGATTCTTAAAGGAATCTCTGGCACCTTGCAACTTACTGTTTCTAAAACTGTTTTTCAGGGGTTGGAAGGTGCAGCTCTGTGGCAGAGCACATAAGTGTGAGGTCCCAGATTCTATCCCTAGGGTATTGCAAAAAAGTCTTTTTTCTTACATTTCCTTCTTGAATTTCATTAGCAGTTTGCCATTCTGGCAACTGGCAGTCCAGTTCTGCCCTGCACTTTTACGTTTGACTCAAGATGGTTTTCTCATTTTCTAGTGCTTCTTGCAGGGAATCTTGCTTGTCCCTGGGCTTCAAGGTGGGTATGGGAGAATTCGCTCCTCCCTCTCCTGCTCATTCCCACAGGGCCAGCAAAAGGTTCACCCTGCAGGAGGTTGAGACCCACTGAACTGTGAGCATGTTTTTTGGGTGGGCTCCCTCTTCTCTTCTGGTTGGTGGGGAGAAAACTTTGTGCAGGAGAGGGAGCTACTTTGCCCTTGGGCCCAGGCCTCCTACTCTCCTTTTCAGGAACCATGGCTGAGTCTAATCCTTGACTTCCCTGCTCCTAAAGAGATCCGTGTTCTCTTTGCTCCACGAACAGTGTGATTTTCAGGGACCTCACTGGGATTCCTGCCTCATACTCAGATCGCCAGGACCAAACTGTCCTGAGCCATCAGCACCACTTAGATCAGTTAAGAGCAAAGCATCTCTTTGGGTACCACTTAGGTTTCCAGACACAATGCTGTGGAGGCCTGTGTCTTGGTCACATGGTTGCCAGTTCTCTCTCTCTTATAGGTTAGGTAGCATACACACTTTCTGTTCTTGACTCCAAAGCAACAGAATGCAGCCCCACACTTACCTTGGGTCTGTGTACTCTCTGATCCTCATGTGATCCTTTCTCCACACCCCACAGAGCCTGGCCATACCTTACAAGAGGCAAGCACAGGCTGCACCCCTTAAAAAGACGAGATGCCACACTCGGGAGTGATTTCGTTTTTTTAATTTTTTTTTTTTTTAAAAAAAGCCCCTAAATTCTATGGCTTCAAGGAAGCGTCAGAGAAACGTAAATGCCATTTCTGTACACTTTGTAAAGCAAAAACTATGCTCCAACGACCACTGCCCTGGGGACACCCAGGTGCCTTTGTCCCACCCGCCTTTGGAGGAACCAGAGGGCACCCCACCACACTGTGAGGTACACCACCATGCCACTACCCTCTGCCCCGCACACACACCTGCGGGGCTGGGCGGAGGCGTTAAGGCGATTTGTCTCCAGCATTTCCTAGGCAGGCATGGAGACCAGAGGCTACGGCCACAAGGGTGAGGCAGGGGCCCAGGCGGCCCATGTGCCCAGCAGGGGTACAGTGACTATCCCCATGGTCCAAGATGCCTGGGCACAGCCTCCAGGAGCAGGTGGGTCAAGAAGCACCCATCTAGTAGGTGCACCCACTCTGCAGGCCAGGCTGGGAAGGACTGTGGTGGCTGCGCCCAGCGTCAAGCTTTGGTGCAGCATTTTGGTTGCGGGGCTGGTTTCAGCCACGGCTATGGCCTTACCCCACCTTCCCCTTTGGTTTCGGGGAGGCCAGAGTTGGCCTCACCCTGGCAGCAATGCTTGAACCCCTCCTGGATGCCACAAGATGGCCCCAGAGCCCCTCCAGGGCTGGGCCTGCCCCCCCTCGAGAAAACGGCCTTTGGATCGAGGGAGACAAGCTGGACTTTATGAGGCTAATGGAGCGGGCCACAGCCTGGGCGCCTCTGGGGCCACACTACGCACTTCAGCACAGATGGGCGGGAGGGGCGGGCACAGGGCGGGCCTCTGCTTTGTTCCTTTTTCCTTGTTTTAAATAGTTAATGCTCTCGGAGGGGAGGACTAAACACAGGTGTAGAAATTTCGGCCAAAGTCTTACGTGAAGGAAGTGACCCCACGTCCAGGGGGTGGGAGCCTGTGGGTCCCTCTGGGCCCCTGTGGCTCCTCTGTCAGTACCCTGGCTTCAGCCAGGCTCTGGCCCTAGGCCACTGAGAATGGCCCTGCAAGTCTCCTGGTCAAGCACGCCCCCAGGGCCTGCATGGAGAAGGTTCACAACTGTGTGAGCCCAGGTCACTTGTGCCGCTGCAGCGATTTTCTCTTCGTCCTCTTGAAAAAACAGCAGCACCTGTGGAGGCAGTGGAGCTGTGCAGAGGACGGGCAGGTGGCAGGGCCCCACTGACATTCCTGCCCAGGACATCCCCACCTCCTAGAGTTCTGCCCAGAGTCATACTTGGTATCATCGGCCACTTCCACCTCTGCAGGGGCCGTGATGGGGGCATTGGAGTGACCAGCTGTGGGGTCATCTGCATTCAGCTCTCCGTTGGTGGAGTTCAGCGCCTGGGTAGGCAGGGGACATGGGGGAGTCATACCTCTGGCCAGTCCTTGGGACGTGGGTGTCCTTGGCCCAGCCCTCATCTGTTTTTTTAATATATGATCTTAGCCAAAAGGTAGAGAAGTATCCTCACCTGGTTTTTACTGTGTGGCTGGGCTTTGTCCCGATGCTGAGGCTGGGTGGGCAGGTCGGTGTGGACTGTACCAATGGGTGTAGGCTGCAGGAACAGGTGTCAGGATGGGCTCTGAGGCAGAGCTGAAGCCCCAGGAAAGTTCCAGCCCACCACCCAGCATATACAGGTGCCTCCCAGTACCTTAGGGCCCAGGAGCTGGTCCTCACCTACCAGGGCTTCAGGCCAGCACCCAGCACCTACCGAGGAGTTCCCACACACTTCCCCACCCATTATCATGGGCTTTCCAAACCACCTACCAAGGGCTTCCCAGCCCAGTCATACTCATAGTCGAACACAAAACCGCTGCGGTCGAAAAGGTCAGTGAAGAGCTTCCGCAGGTAGTCATAGTCCGGCTTCTCAAAGAAGTCCAGGCGGCGCACATAACGCAGATATGTGGCCATCTCCTCTGGGGAGAGAGTGATTGCGTGGAAAATGGAGCTGGGTGGATTTAGAGGCAGGACACCAGGACAGGTTGGCGGTTTGTGAGTAGGGAGCAGGGGCAGGCACCTTACCTGGGAAGCTCTCGCACAACACCTCGATGGGTGTGGCCCGCTTGGTGTCCCCAATCTTCTGGTACCGCTCCTTGAGCGTGTCGGCCTGCAGGAACCTCAGTCAGTGCACCATGCCTTGCCCAGCCCTGTTTTCCCTTACCTCTCCCGTGTCCTGGTTCACCTTGAGCCCCTGCCAGGGCAGGCTGCCACGCAGGAAGTACATGAACATGTGGCCCAGTGCCTCTAGGTCGTCACGGCGACTCTGCTCTGTGGAGAAGAGTGGAGACAGCAGGCTCGGCGCAGCCCACGCACCCACCCCCCTCCCGCGCACACAGCTCACCCTTGCCCAGGTGCGTGTTGATGCTCATGTAACGTGCAGTGCCCGTCAGGCTCTTGTGCTCCCGGTACGGGATGTGCTTCTTGGTCTCAGGATCGATGTACTCCTTGGCCAGCCCAAAGTCGATGATGTGGATGGCGTGCTGCCGCTTGGTTCCTGGGCGCCCCACCAGAAAGTTCTCAGGCTTCACATCACGGTAGATGAGGCTCTTAGTATGCACATACTCCATACGAGTGATCTGGGGGGGGGCAGACCTCAGCGGATGGGGGTTGTCCCCAGGCTCACATTCACCTACCCACCCTCCTAGGCCAGACCCTGCCCCTCCCGACCCCACCCTGACCCGCACCAGCTGGATGGCGATCATGAGCACCGTCTTCAGTGTGAAGGTGCGGTCGCATAGGTCGAACAGGTCCTCCAGGCTGGGACCCAGCAGCTCCAGCACCATGGCGTTGTACTTTCCGCACGGGCCAAAGTAGTAGACCTGAGGGACGCCCTCTGCAGCGAGAGGTGTGCCTGTGTTGGGAGTCTGTCCCTGTCCTCCCTGGCCCAGGAGGTGTCCCTCCCTTCCTGTCACTTACCTGCAGTGCTGAGCTGCTTGTAGAACCGGTACTCCAGGTGCAGCTGTGGGGCCCGGGACTTTATGGGCTCCTGGGGGGACAGAGGAAAGTTACCCAACCCCCTGTGCTCTGGCACTCATCCCTCATACTAGCTGGGAGGACAGGAAGAGGATATACTTACCAGTTTGATTGCCACGTACTCGTTTGTATAGAGGTTCTTTCCTGTGGGAATAGAGGCCATAAGGATTGCAGGGCCTGTCCACTGCTCCCACAACTTCCCCACTAGAATTCACACCCCACAGATGTGATACACCCTCTAACAGGCACCTGCCAGCCAGCCTCCTGGTGCTAAAAGTAGAAAAGGGCAGTGCTGGGCCAGGATCCACTCCCATGTCCTAACCCTGGCCACCTGCCCACCCCATTGCCCAAAGTTCCTCCTGCTCAGGAAGTCCCAGCTGTGAGCTCTTCCTGAGTCCTGGGCCCAGGGAAGCCAAGGATGAACCAAAGCCTCCCACTTCAGGTAGCCCATCAGCTGGCCCAGAGCTAGGCAGAAGGGCCTGCCCACACTCAGGTTGGCTAGGATGGAGCCCCTTCACTTCATACTGCTGCATGCACACCACCCAAGCTCCACAAAGATTGGGGTAGGGCAAGTGGGGGGGCACCTGAACTGGCTGAGAGGGAGACAGCTTTCAGCCATTAACACTGTCAGGCCTCTGGGCCCATGAGGTTCATGGGACCCTGCCTCCCAAATAGGTGGACACTGGATGTGCTTTGTGGACCTACCCTAGCTCCTCAGGCCCCTGTGTATGCTCACCTTGCAGCATAGGGCACACATATCATGTGGCATATTTACATGTGCCCCCCCACACCCACATACACTGTTGTCCACACGGAATGCCATATCTGCCCCCTGTATCCATGACCCTCTAACTGCGTCCATGCTAGGTCCTGTGCCTCTGGGCCTATGGTGTGCCACCTTCATCCTACCTACCACCTACTGCAGGAAGTGCCTTCGTGTCCTCTCAACCTCACTGCAGCTGTCCAGCTAGGGGCTCTTAAGACAGAAGCCATGGGTACCCTGCTGAGGTGGGATTGAACCCCCACTGAGAACTTGGTGGCTGATGCCCCCATGGTGGTCATGACCCCATTGGCCTTGAAGCTGGCAGCTTGTCCTCACTGTCCTGGCATGCCCATGGGTGGCAGCCACACCGCTTCAGCCTCCTCTGGACTTGCTGTGCTCTTCAACACTGTTTCCAGGCCCTTTTCCAACCACAACTAACCTCCACCTCCAACTTGTTCATGTCCCCCAGTGGCCTGCAGAACCTCATCAAGCCTCCAGAAGCACTCAAGAAGGTGTCATATTGAGAACACAGAATTGTCCCATCTGTGAGCCAGGAATGTCCCTCATGCTGGCTGAGCACACAACTGCAACCTGGTCCCCGAGTGCTGGTAATGGTTACTCTGCCTCTGTCAGCAGTTCCTGATGTACAGAGAAATGTGAGCAGCAGAAATGCACCGTGGCCACCATCTGCTAGCCCAGGAGACCATACTGATAATGGCTGTGTTTGTTCTGCCAGCACCTATGCCCTACCATCCTTCCAACTTCCTTATTTGTAGAGGCATTTCCAAGTCATAGACACTGCCCCTACCTGTGTCACCTGTGGTCAAGTTCAGTATACACTTCCAGTTCTCATTTCCTTTCAGAGGTGAGATTTATAGAGGAACACACTGTACTGGAGGTGGAGGTGACCCCACTACCTAGACAGGGTGCTCACGGTACTGGAGAGAAGTTCTGAGAGGCAGAAGCCATGGGATAGCTCAGCACGCTCCCTTGCAGGTGGCTCTACTGGCAAAGTATTCCAGCTACTCCATGGAGCTGCAAGTGCCATGCTCCTGCTTCCTGCTGCAGCATCCTGTGAATCCCCAACTCATATCCCACTCAGCCCTGACAGATGCCTGAGCTGTTTCCAAGTTGGAGCTCTCATGCATGGTGCTGCAATGAACATTCCCACACAGGCTTATGCGGGACTGCTTCCCTGCAGAGCTGCTGCCATGGGGCCCATGTGGTATGTGACATGGAGGGGAGGTAGGGGCCTTTTGCCTCTGGGCTATGGCTTTTCATCTGTCTTCTTTTACACAGTGTCCACATACTTTGCCCACTATTCATTGGCTCACTTGTCTCTTTATTCCAGGGATGTGGCTCTTTTATGCACCCCTGAAAATGGTACTTTGTCAGGTGGATGCTCTGAGAACATTTCTCGTGATCCCAGCAATGCCTTCCCCCGAGCAGGCATTTCCAATTGTGATGACACCTCACTGGTCAATCTTTTGTTTCATGACAATTTCTACTAGGCTTTGTTGAAGACATTTTCAGCTGACCCAGCCCTCATATTCTGCCTAAGACCTGAAAAAGCTGGGTCCTTAGAGTGAGACCTGTACTTTTTTTTTTTGTGAGGCTGGGGTTTGAACTCAAGGCTTTGCACTTGCAAAGCAAACTCTCTACCATGTGAGCCACACCTTCAGTCCAGAGTGAGACTTGTGTTCGAGGTGAGCATGCTTGAAGGCACATGAGGTCTTTGTGGACTTAAGACTGGAAAAGCTCAGGTGCTTTGGCCTGGATGGTCTTCTGAGGCCACTGTACTGGTACTGACCACACACACAAAAGGCAGCACAGATTGCAAGGCCTGACAAAGAACAATTCTGGTGGCTGTAGGCCAAAGGAAGTTTCCAGGGCCACACAGGCTAGAAGGTGCTGGAGTCCCACCACCCAGGGCATGGACACCTTCCCAATCTCCCTGACATCCTCATGAAAGGATACCCGGGACAGTCCTATTTCTAACAGACAAGTGTCCCTTAGCAGGACAAAACAACACACAGGTGCATCCTATAAACAGACATGCTCACAGCAGCAGGCAATGACCAACAGATAGTCACAACAGTGAATGGCTCTCAGGAACATGCAGAATCAGAGGCTGGGCTAAAAACAACACAGACTGCAATTTACAAAACTTCTAAAAATAAAAGCCACCCACCCACAGCCCCTGTGAGCTCCATCCGTAAAAGGACCGGTGCTATTTAGCTGCTGCTCCCACTGCCTAATAACAGAAGCTATGGTGGTGAGCTGTATCCCCAAAGACAAAAAGAGCCACCCTCTAGGCTACTGGCCAGAAAACAGTCACACCAGGTGTGTGACTATATGTAAGTGTGTCTATTCTGTCTGTGCAGGCCTGTGTGGACGTCTGTGCATGTGCATATATGTACACACATCCATGCTTGTATTTGTTCATCTATGTGCATTTGTATTTGTGTCTGTGTGTATGCACCCTGCACCTGCCTGTCTGCATGTGACTGAGTGTGTGCACACAGATGCACATCCCAGGGGCAGCAGGGGACTGGAATCAGGTAGTCCCCATTCAGGCAGGCTCCCATCTCTCAGCTGAGAAACCAGAAGCTAAGACCTCCCAAGGCTGCAAGCAGAAAGCTGCCTCTTGGCAGAGACTAGGCGAGAGCAGAGATCTTATTATACACAGAGCTGGAGGCTAGGGGCCTCTGTAAGGGCCACACAGGCTCAGGAATGAATGGCAGGCCAGCCTTGTAGGGTCACTCAGTGCAGCTGTCAATAACAGTGTTCCTCCAAAAACCACCTCTTAGGACAGGAAGGAGCTGCTAAACCAGACATTCAAAAACTTCTCAGAGCTGGCTAAGTGCTTATCACGCTGATCAATTCCCAGAATCCCTATGGTGGTCAACCACCCCATTAACAGGTAGGCAGGGGCTCACAGATCCAAACATGGGGTAATGAATATGTGTAGAATTCAAGGTGGGGCCAGGTTGCTGAAGGTACAGCCAAGTTTCATACACATTCTCATCTGACCACCCAAGAGGGTGATTTGGGGCCCAATGTGGCACTGCCTGGCATGAGGCATGCACATGAGTCTGGTCTCCTGCTACTCCTGCCTGTCTCTGCTCCTTCTCGGAAATACTGACTCTTACCACGACAGGTACTGATGGGCACCAAGCTTGTACACTCAGGACCCCAACATGTCCTAACGACAGTGGCGGCTGCCTCAAATCTGGGGACCACACGCTTTCCCACAGGGTTAAAAGTCTGCAGCAAAGCTGGGAATTCCAGTAGCACCAGGAACAGATTGCTTGATTTTAAGGACAATCAGCCTTCTCAACACAATGACCTGAGAGTGGGCTGAACCCAACATGTTGAACAAGGCCAAAGGCTGGGGTGCTGACCTCCTGCCTCTGCAGGGCAGTCACCCCTGCCAGTGAGGGGTTCAGTGCTGGGGCTCTGCTTGCCCACATCTGCTGAGGCAGCACACTAGGCTTTAAGCAGATACTCTGGAGGCTCAGGCAGGCCAAGCTTTGTGCTGGATGTGACCAGGGTTTGGCCAGAGCTCCCCCAGCTGATGATAGCTGGGCCTGAAAACTGAGCCACGCTTTGTCCAGTTTAGAACCTCCAGTTTAGAGTGGTAAATCATCTGCCTAGCATGAGGCCCTGAGTTCAAACCCCAGTCCTCCCCATCCCTCAAAAAAGAACCTAGGTAAGGAACTAACAACTTCAAATGCCTGGCTGGCCTTTTCCCCCACCACAAGGCTGACCCCAGGAAGGGCCAGGCTGAGGATCCCTCCTCCAAACCTCACTAGTGATCCCTGACAGTTTGTGGGGTATCCACCAATGGTGGGAGACAGCAATACTGGCCCAACTTGCCTAGGAGAAGCTACCCATCCCCTCTCCATGCCACCACGCAAGTTGAGGGCTCACCTAGGCGAAGCTCCCCGAAGTTGCCACAGCCTATCTTCTTGCCGACTCGGAAGTTGGGGCCCACCATCAGGACCCCCGAGCTGGTCCCTGAGCTCCGAACGCCATGGCTGCTCCGGCCCCCACCAGTCTTGGACATTCTCCGGCCCTCCTCCAACTCCCCTTTCCCTCCTTTCTTGTCAAAATCCATAAGTTTGTGGTACCCTGGCCTCTCCACGGTGACTCTGCTCCGTTCAATCCTGAGTCTGCAAAACCTGAGGTCACCGCTCTGCGCTAGTACACCATTGCGCCAGCGGTGGGTGGCCTCCCGGCTCCCGGCTAGTGACACTTGGCCACACTTGCGGGCCCAGTCGCAGTGCTCATCTTGGTGGCCTTGGGGTCTCTTGCAGGGAGAGGAGACATTCTGCGGACAGGTCCCACCGCCTCAAATCTTGTGGCGCCCAGCTATAGAGAGATAGAAGCACAGGTTAGGAGGTCTTGAAGACACCATGGCCCACAATGGGGTAGATGGGGCAAGCAGGCTAACTGAGCACAGCTCCAGGAGAGGCCTCCCAAGTGGCTGTTGTTCTAGAAAGATATGTGAAGGTCTGGGCAAAGCAGGCAACAACCCCAACCCAGATCTCGTGTGGGCAACACCCACCCCAACACTGACAGAAGAGGTCAGAGGTCACAGTGAAGGCTGTTGGGGCATGACCAGGACACTCGTGGAATTTGCAAGGGAAGATGGAGGTGGGTGGCTTGGGCTGAGTAGCCCATCGAGTGTCAGGGTCCCTGGAAGGGTTTAAAGTCTGGCAAAAGTTCTCAAACTCCCACAGCAGAAAACCTCTAGGTGGAAAGATGACAGATGACAAGAGTAGACGGGGCCTGGGCTGGTATAGGTGCTTATTACCTAACATCACACAGGCCTCCAAGGTCTTCCCATCCCAAGCAGATGGGTGGCAGGGGGTGGGGGAGGGGACTTAAGGTCCTCATGTTAATTCTCCAGGGGCTATCCATGAGGGTCTGAGTGGCAGGTGGGCTGGTCAGTGCTTGGCCTTGCAGGTGGGGCGGGGAGGGCTCAGTGTAACCTGAGGCACAGCCTGAGGCAGGGTCCAAGTGGGGAGGGGGCAGAAACCTCCCACCCTGAGAACCCACTAGCACAGCACAGCTGCCCAGAAGGCCCCACCCATAGTAGTATTCCCTCCAGACTCCCCCAGAACCCTGTTACAGGCATCAGTACCATGGAACTTTCCCTGACATGTGCCACTACCCCATGCCCCTTCCTGCTAAGTTCAGGTCCCAGCCTTCCCACTGCAAGCTTCTGCTGCAACCAGCCAAAACCACCTGCCTCTAGACCATCCGGTTCTTAAGTTGAAGCCAAAGGAACCACTTTAAGAACTTATCTGCTCTAGAGTGCTTTGTGTGCTGGTACACACCTGTAATCTCAGCACTGGAGAGACTGAAACAAGATCACGAGTTCCAGGCCAGGCTAGGCTACAGAGACCCTGTCTTTAAAGAAAAAAAAAAAAATCTTATTTGCAAAACCTACATGAAAACACATGAGACCCAGGTTCAGGTTCAATCCCCAGGACCAAAACCACAAAACAAATTCCTCTGCTTCTCCAGGTTTTGCAGTCCTGAATTGCATTGCACATGAGGTGAGGGCCCTGCCTGACACACTGGATTGGCCCACAGCACAGATTCCTGGTGGGTCATCCTTTCTGCTGCCCCACCCCACATTGATCCTACTCACTGGGGCTGAGTGACTCTAAATAGTTAGGAAAAGATGCAGGAGATAGCTGGGCATGGTGGCACGTACTTGTCATCCCAGCTGTGCCAGAGGTTGAGATAGGGAGGATGGCGATTCCGAGTCAAGCCAGGGCAAAAAAGTTCAGGAGACTCCATTTCAACAGAAAACAAACAAACAAACAAACAAACTTGGGATGGTGGCACATGACTGTCATCCCAGGTATGGCAGGAAGCCTAAATAAAATAAGATTGTGGTCCAGGGTGGACTAGGCACAAAGTGAGACCCTATCTCCAAAATACCCAGAGACAAAAGGGCTGGATGCATGGCTTAAGTAGTAGATCTTAGTAGGTGTGAAGCCCTGCGTTCAGACTCCAATACCTCCAAAAAATAAATAACTAAATAAAAAAGAAAGAAAAACAAAAGAAATGGAGGCCTGGGCACTGAAGGCCCTCACTGGGGGAGGTGACCAATGAGTGTCTGAAAGAGATTGATGCCATGCCAGGCACAGGCCTGGACCAGAGTGGGCATGATGCTCTGGGGAGAACGGTATCCTTACCCAGCAAGGGCAAGAGGTGCAGGTGGGATGCCCCAAACTCCTCCAAAGGTCCTCCTAGCCTACTGTCCAAAGGGCTTGCCCAAGTGGTGTGGCAGAACTCCTATGGCTGCCCAGATCTGGGGGTGGACAGTACCATCTGAACCTCACTGTGCCTAACCCCCCATCTGGGTTGCCCTCAAAGTGTTCAGTGTCCACACTTGGGGGCCTGGCCAGTTGCAGGTGGTCCCAAGGGTTGGTGACCACAGATGAGGACTGTGACCTAGATATGATGGTGACATAACTGCAGAGATGTGAGGTCTGGGGCCCAGGCCCATCGGACTAAACCCACCTTGAGGCCACCCCACCTCTGTGGCAGGGACAGTTTGGGGTCAAGGATGGCCAGGGAAAAGAGGTTTGGACTCACCACCTGTGCAGCTGAGACACTCCCAGCTCCCACCTAGGAGAGCAAGAAAGGGCCATAATGCAAGGTCCACTTGGAACCAGGGCAAAGACAAAGGCTAGCCTGGCCCTGGGCTGGATCCTGCTGGAGGGCTCAGGACCAAACAGGATACAGCATCCAAGCCACATTCACAAAAGAGGACGGGACCACAGGTGGCAGAGCACTGGCGCTGTGAGTGCTTACACGTGCACACTTGGAAGTATACTCATACACATAGAAACACTACCACTTGGCTGTTCAAACCACATGAACTCCCCAGCCAGCAGAACACCTGTGTTCTACACAAAACCTAGAAATACTTAAACATCAGTCACTGACTCACAATACCAGGACCCCAGGTTCTGGTCACCTGCTGCCATGTTCCTGGTGGCCCCCTTCCTGGTGATCTACCAACAAGGATTACACACAGTTGACAGGAACCATACTGCCAGGTCCTTGCTAGGCCATGGGGAAGAATAGCCGCATGCAGGCTTCACAGAGCACTAACTCATCAAGACATGGTCAGTGACCCTCCTTTTGGCTGTCACCATCCAGCCCAGTTGTGGAGTATCTGTCCAACACTTGGCCATTTCACCAATGCCAAGTGACAATATGCTCCTCACTGGGCCATCAGAGCATGGCCAGCTGTGGCCAAGGGAATGGGACAGGGTCCATCTCTCCAGAGCAAGGGGGCCAGTGGGTGCTGGCCTGGGCAGAAGCCACTCTGGAATGGGCTCCTTAGAAGGTCAGACGAGTACAACATGATTGGGGAGGCCCAGGCCTGGCAGACAGCTCTACCCAGGAGAGCTGGTGAGCAGGCCACACCCAGGCTTCAAGGGTGGCCACCATCACTGCAGCTGTTAGGGATTCAATTGGCTATCAAAGTCTGAAACTAAGGGACAAGGTTAACACCACCCTAGATGCCCCCATATCCCCAGGAGCCCCCACTCACCCTGTGCTGCCCATTTGTCCAACACATTTTCTTATGGTCTCCTGTCCTCAACCAAGACACTAGCTTCTTCTAGTGGGGCAGCTAGGCCTGAAAAGCAGACTCTAGCCCTTGCCTTCATGCATCAGGTAAGCCACACCAGCCACTCTGTGCACCTGAAGGGCTGCAGGGATGCCTCTAAACAGCAAGGATGTAAGAGCTACCTGTGCAAAGCCACTACTGAAAATCACAATGTGTATACTTGCATAAGATACATCACAAAGGCCATCAGTACTCAGAATACACACTTACTGAACTGTGTTCTCATCTGTGTTCTAGGGTTGCCTCCAGCATCTGAGTGGAGAAAGGCTATATGGAAGCAACTCTGCTTCCCACTTGTGGGCAAGGGCATCAGCCTCAGGGAGAACAATAAGACTCCCAGATGTCAGACATCTGATGTGGGAACTGTAACACAGGATGGATTCAAAAATGGTCCCAGGTGGCTCAAAATTGCAATCCCAGCTATGGGGGAGCCAGATCAGGTCGGTCTGGGAAAACAAAACAAAACAAAACAGCAAGACCCTATTTGAAAAATAAAGTAAAGAGGGCAGGGCTGGAAGCATGGCTTAAGTGGTAGAGAGCCTACCTAGTAAGGAGGACCTGAGTTCAACCCTCAGTATTGTAGCCACCTCTGCTACACCTGAGGTCCTCCTCCCAAATGGAGAAGCAGGGCATGTGGCACTACATCCTCACTAAAAGTAGCCACAGGCCTGCTGCTGATATACAAAACTTGGCAAAATCATCAAGACATTCTGTGAAAAATCAATAGCTCTATGGACCTCCCAACACAGTATCATGTTTCATTACTTGTAAATACTGGGCCACAAGATTCATATAAAGCATCATTCTTATATTGTGTGTGTGTCACTGCTTCATCTTGTTCATGGCTGAGTGTTGCTCCAGTGTGGAACGACCACACTGTGTCCATCTGTCTGTGAACGCAGGTGTGCATTTCTGGGTGGATGTTTTCATTTTTCTTAGGCACACACATAAGTGTTATTTCCAGATAACCTGGAACCTCTATTTTCATCACTTTAGGAACTGCTGGCCTGTTTTCCACAGCAGCTGTACCAGATCCTGTCCCCTTGGCAGCAAGCAAGGGCTCAGGAACTGCTGCTCTCCTGCTCATGGTCATCTTGGTGGAAGACAATGCTGCACTGTGGGGTTTATTTGCATTTCCTCTACTGAACTGTAGCAGGCAGGCATCCCTATTTAAACCTACGCTGGACAGAGAGAGGGTGGCAGGAACCACTGATGCAGGTGACCAACCACTGAGTACACAACAGCAATGGGAACATCTCCTCCCTCCTCAATGCTACCACTTTTCTAGAAATGGTTATTCTCCTTGCTGCTCAAGTGGAAAGGAACCCCAGGAAGTCAGCCTAGCTTCCCCAACCAACCAGCTGCTAAAGGTCAGCTTCCTCCCTGGGCACTTTGGGGGGCTTCTTTTCCTGCCATCAATTGTACTTTCCATTTATCCAAGAGACAGGGACCTCCTCTCCCTATGAAGCTCATCTCTGCACCTTGGCAAAGGGCATTTGCACTAGGGGGAACAATCATTTGGAGTTAGGAGACCAATTCTGGCAGTACCTCCATGTGTCACTGGCTGACTGACACAGGGCCTTCATGAGGAAAAATCGAAGTGGTACAACCAGGAGTAGAGAGCAGGAACATCCTGCCCCAGAGGCTACTCCACAGGATACTAGATTCCATACCCTATCCAGCACCAGAGGTCACAGACAGCAGCTGCAGG